ATAACAGGATAGATATGTTCCTATTTTATTTTAACTATTTTATTTTTATATTTTTATGATTATTTCTTTTAAATATTATATATAATTTATTTAAATCAACATATATATATATATATATATATATATATATATATATATATATATATATATATATATATATATATATATATATATATATATATATATATATATATATATACTCACTAGTACCAGGTTGGACCCTCTTTTGCCTTCAGAACCGTCTTAATCCTTCATGGCAGCGATTCAACAAGCTACTGGAAATATTCCTCAGAGATTTTGCTCCATATTGACATGATAGCATCACACAGTTGCTGCAGATTTATCGGCTGCACATCCATGAAGCCAGCCTCCCGTTCCACCACATCCCAAAGGTGCTCTATTGGATTGAGATCTGGTGATTGGGGAGGCCATTTGAGTACAGTGAACTCATCGTCATGTTCAAGAAACCAGTCTGAGATGATTGAGCTTTATGACATGGTGCGTTATCCTGCTGGAAGTGGCCATCAGTAGATGGAGACCCTGTGCTCATTAAGGGATGGACATGGTCAGCAGCAATACTCAGGTAGGCTGTGGCGTTGAAACGATGCTCAATTGGTACTAATGGACCCAAAGTGTGTCAAGAAAACATCCCTCACAACATTACACCACCACCAGCAGCCTCAACCGCTGATACAAGGCAGGATGGATCCATGCTTTCATGTTGTTGAGGCCAAATTCTGACCCAACCATTCGAATGTGGCACTCCCAGAACTGCCGCTTACTGGTTATTTCCTCTGTGTCGGACCATTCTCAGTAAACCCGGGTTTCACACCCAGTTGTGTATGAAAATCCCAGCAGATCAGCAGTTTCTGAAATACTCAGAGCAGCCCGTCTGGCACCAACAACCATGCCACGCTCAAAGTCACTTAAATCCCCTTTCTTCCCCATTCTGATGCTCAGTTTGAACTGCAGCAGATCGTCTTGACCATGTCTGGATGCCTAAATGCATTGAGTTTCTCCCAGGTGATTGGCTGATTAGAAATTTGCATTAACGAGCAGTTGGACAGGTGTACCTAATAAAGTGGCCGGTGAATGTATATATATGACTGGACATGCTCTATAATGGTCATGTCAAGAACAATCCTATTGTTCATGAACACACATGACTGTAAAAACAAAAGTAACTTAGCAAAGAGCAGCACGTTTAATAGTGTACCTCTTTATAAGACGACATGATCCGCTCAATAGCATCGGCTCCTGAGGCCAGCAGATTGCGTGCTGTGGTAAAGGCCTCTGTCCTTTCACTGACCAGCACTTGTGTCTGACCGTCAGCCAGCTCTGTGAGACATGAGAATGAAACATGCAACACTATGAGCAATAACAATGCAGTAAATTAAATAAAATACATTAATTAAATAGATAAATAACATAAACGATAGAACAAAATAACTCTGGCTTAGAGTTTTAGCATTTTTCAATCCATTTAGCCGATCTCTGGGTCTGGCGGGAGCACTTTTAGCTTAGCTTAGCATCATTTATTAAATCGGATCAGACCGTTAGCATCTCACACACTTTGTTGCCTTAAAAATTGGACTTTAACGTCTTAGTACATGATGTAATCACAGAAGAATCAAGCTTTAAAAAGGAAAATTATACAAATCTTTTAAGAATTTTTGAGTTAGATGCTAATGATTTATGCTAAGCTAAGCTAAAATATCTCCCGCCAGACCTGGAGATCAGCTGAATGGACTCAAAACTAATCAAACTCAACCGTTTAACCTTAGGAAAGTCCCACAGTACCATTGTCAGCAAAGCCAGTAGCAGTGATGATGGGCACAGCGACCATAACCAGGCCGCTTCCACTCCACACGTACTTCATGAGGAACTGCTCGATCATGATGTACCACAGGCGCTTCGACAGGATCAGGTTCATCTGCTCGGCCAGAGCGCTGTAACACTTCTGCAGCTGCTTCATCTCCACCTGACAAAGCATGTTAGCGTCAGAAGACCTCAAGGATAACGGCTTGTTTTCCGAACTCGGAAATTAGATCAAACAACAGCGCAGTTTCGCTTTTAGTGCGTGATGATACAGGCAGTCAATCCAAAGGCCTCTTCACGCATGACTGCTGTATTATTCAGCACACATACACTGGAAGATATGGCAACCTAAAAACTGTCACTTCACATTGATCTTAAACCACTGGTAGAGTGAACTATTGCTTACTTATTCAGTTAGTCTGTCTGCAATCTATCTGTCTGTCCGTCCGTCCGTCTATTTGTATGTCTATATGTCTGTTTGTCTATCTATCTATCTATCTATCTATCTATCTATCTATCTATCTATCTATCTATCTATCTATCTATCTATCTATCTATCTATCTATCTATCTATCTATCTATCTGTCTATCTGTCTATCTATCTGTCTATCTGTCTATTTCTCTATCTATCTATCTATCTATCTATCTATCTATCTATCTATCTATCTATCTATCTATCTATCTATCTATCTATCTATCTATCTATCTATCTATCTATCTATCTATTTGTATGTCTATATGTCTGTCTGTCTGTCTATCTATCTATCTATCTATCTATCTATCTATCTATCTATCTATCTATCTATCTATCTATCTATCTATCTATCTATCTATCTATCTATCCATCTATTTGTATGTCTTTATGTCTGTCTGTCTGTCTATCTATCTATCTGTCTGTCTGTCTGTCCGTCCGTCCGTCTGTCTGTCTGTCCGTCTGTCCGTCCGTCCGTCCGTCCGTCTATTTGTATGTCTATATGTCTGTTTGTCTGTCTATCTATCTATCTATCTATCTATCTATCTATCTATCTGTCTGTCTGTCTGTCTGTCTGTCTGTCCGTCCGTCCGTCCGTCCGTCCGTCCGTCCGTCCGTCCGTCCGTCCGTCTATTTGTATGTCTATCTGTCTATCTATCTATCTATCTATCTATCTATCTATCTATCTATCTATCTATCTATCTATCTATCTATCTATCTATCTATCTATCTATCTATCTATCTATCTGTCTATCCATCCATCTATTTGTATGTTTATATGTCTATCTATCTATCTGTCTGTCAGTCTATCTATCTATCTACCAGTCTGTCTGTATCCATCCATCCATCTGTTCATATGTCTGTCTGTCAATCTGTCTGTCTGTCTATCTATCCATGTATCCATCCATCTGTTTATATGTCTGTCTGTCTATCTATCTATCTATCTATCTATCTATCTATCTATCTATCTATCTATCTATCTATCTATCTATCTATCTATCTATCTATCTATCTATCTATCTATCTATCTATCTATCCATCCATCTATTTGTATGTCTATATGTCTGTCTGTCTATCTATCTATCTATCTGTCTGTCTGTCTGTCTGTCTGTCTGTCTGTCTGTCTGTCCGTCTGTCCGTCCGTCCGTCCATCTATTTGTATGTCTATATGTCTGTCTATCTATCTATCTATCTATCTATCTATCTATCTATCTATCTATCTATCTATCTATCTATCTATCTATCTATCTATCTATCTATCTATCTATCTATCTATCTATCTATCTATCTATCTATCTATCTATCCATCCATCCATCTATCTGAACTCTATATGATGCAGCTTAAAGGGATAGTTCACCTAAAATGATAACTATATCATAATTTACTTCCCCCTTTGCTTGTAATAATCCTTTATGAGTTTCTTTCTTCTGTTAAACCCAAATTTTAAAAGAAGATGTTACCCATCACAGGTTTTCGGCATTCTTTAAACTACCCTTTTTTTGACATTAACTTTTCATCATAAGAAAATTTAGGAACCACTTGAGGATGAATAAACAGCAACCTGTCATCATTTACTCACCCCTCAAACTAGAAGTTAAGTTAAAAAAGGTTTGAAACTGGTCCCTGGCTGTGCACTGAGTTCAATATTTGTTTTCCCTTCTATATAAAAGTCAATGGTTACCGATTTCAAACATTCTTCAATGTATCTTCTTCTGTGTTCAACAAAAAAAGAGTAGGTTTAGGAGTGAGTAAATGGTCTGTGTTCACTCATTCAATCATTTTCTTGTCGACTTAGTCCCTTTATACTCTGGGGTCGCCACAGTGGAATGAACCGCCAACTTATTCAGCATGTTTTATACACAGCGGATGCCCTTCCAGGCGCAACCCATCTCTAAGAAAATGGTCTGTGTTTTGAATTTTAAGATGAAAATCAAATAACTGCTCCTATTTTTGTTTTTCAATACCTCCCGGCAGGCTCAGGACATCACGTCGTGGGACGTCGCATTTTGGGTGGAAATGAAAATCGTGTTAGCATCAGAACTCAATGTCAGATCGACGTTAATGTCCAACGTCAGACAGACGTTGCGTTTTGGTTACTTTTTAACGCAACCTAAAAACAACAAAATATCAGCGTCTAATGAGGCTACAGCTTGACGTTGTGTGAACGTCACTGTGACGTTTATCAGACGTTAGATTTTGGTTGCCATACCTGACGAATAAATGTCAGTATTTGGCGTCAATATGACGCTGGTTTGAGATGTTGGCTTGACGTTGGATTTTGGTCACTTTCCTATACAACCTAAAAACAACAAAATATCAACGTCTAATTATAATTAAATTAATCAGCGTCTAATGATGTTACAGCTTGACGTTGTGTGGACGTTACCACTACGACATCTATCAGACGTTAGATTTTGGTTGTCATACCTGACGAATAAATATCAGTATTTGGCGTCAATATGACGCTGGTTTAAAATGTTGGCTCTACGCCATTTTGTAGTATGAATAGTGTAAGTAGTGTGTTCACACTGAAAACTCTAAAAATAATAAGTGCACTTCAATTACCCGGATGATGCACTCATTCAGCCGCTAAAATGAAGTGTGGAATGATGGAGACTTCACGCACTCAACGACCGCAGGTTTGCTCACGTAGCGGAAGGGGCGGAGCTATCGGACGCACATGTTGAATAACTTTATTTATTTTGGATGGTGAAAGCAAAATTCTCCTACGAGAGTGATTATAGCGCCTCCCGATGGTGAATGCGGCAATACTCACGGCAGGTATTATTTGATAATTCGGTCGATTATTTCACTGATTTGGCAACCGTCAAACGTCATCAGGGAAACGGTTTGAATTTCCGCTTAGTAAAAAAACATTAGCGTGGCATTTGGGACGCCTCTACATACATATACTATCCTGTTGAGTGTGTAAGTGCATAAGTACATAGTGCATAAGTACATAGTGCATGAGTGTGCCATTTGGGACGCAGCTAATGGTTACCAGTTACATACTTCAAACTATCTTATTTTTTGTTCAACGGAAGAAACAAACTCAAAACAAACTTTTAGAAGTACTTGAGGGTGAATAAACAGTGAGTAAATTTTAATATTTATGTGAACTACCCCTTTAAAGGGACAGTCATCCATCACACTTCTTTTTTTTTCTGTTGAACACAACGAAAACACATTTAAAACCAGTACCCACACTGATTCAATGTTTGTTTCCCCTCTATAAAAGTACATGCACACATTCTTCAAAGTATCTTCTTTAGTGTTCAACAGAAAAAAAGAAGGTTATTTAGTAGTGAGTGAGTGAGTAAACACTCCGTGTTTTGAATTTTAAAACGTACTTGACTTCTTTTTTTCTCCGCGTTTATCAGCGTTCATTTTGGGGTGAACTATCCCTTTAAGACCGGTTTTGTGCTCCTCCACATACAGTACAGTACAGCGTTTCCTCATTTCATGAACAACACCACCACAGCTATTATCTGTTACATAACTCGTGTTTACATAAAGCAGACTTGATCTGAGGCATGTATGGTTCCCCCTTCACCTTGTGTCCCCTATAGAAGGCGATCTCCTCGGCGTTGGCGATGATCCTAGAGTGCACATATCTCAGGTAGCCCTTCCGGTGAGCCTCCTCCGCCACCAGCTTCCCGAAGCGGGGCGAGCAGGCGCGCAGGACCTTCGCCGTGGCGAACACCACCAGACCGGCCAGCAGCGTGGGCCCGCTCGCGTTCGCCCCCCGGGACCGCGCCGTCTGTATCAACGTGTACGAAGTCAGAATCACGTCCAGGATGGGCTTAGTGAGGTTCGAGTACAGATGCGCGATGGACTGCGAGAACATCATCACATCCTCGGTCAGCGACTGGTCGGGGTTCGCCAGCCTCCCGTCCATATTGCTGACCTTATAGTAGGTCTGGTCGGTGAAGTAGGTCTTGTACGCGTGATCCACCAGACGCGTGCGGAACGCGAGCGCCAGCTTGCACTCCAGATAACGGATCGCGCTGTTGACGAATGTCGCCGGTATGGCGATCAGGAGCCATTTCATCAGTTTGATCATGAAGCTCCGCGGCTGCTTCTCCACGATCGTCTTCACTATTTTGCCGTCCAAACCGGCCACGTAAATAGACAAAAACGTCCGTGACACTAACGCCACCGAATGCAAACATAGCAAGCCCAGCTCCTTGGTGATGAACCTCGGGAAAACGATTTTGACCAGTGCGAGAATCTGCTTGAAGAATTCCGCGTCGACACCGGGCGATTTAACGGTGCTCAAAGTCTCCGGTGGAGCTTTGTGGATGGCTAACGAGCCGTTTTCGTGTCCCGCGGCTGGCGTGTGGTTCCTGCTCGTTTTGCGTTGTTGGAGTTGTCTGCAGAGGATGGGGTAGAGGGTTTTCGCCCCGTATGCGGCGGCCGCCAGGAACAGCGCTCTCTTCGCCGCAGTGCTCCGGTCCCATTTCCCCGTTGATGCCGCATGCAGAATGTTGCTCATTTTGTATCCCGCTTTTGCTAAGCTAAGTAGTTCGCTATCTGCAGTTCGTTCCCGGATACATCCATAGGGCCATCCGATGCGTTAATTAGAGAGCGTGTAGATGAATTTCATGGTACCGTGAGGTTGAAGCAGGAGGCAGCGCCGCTAGGTATGATGTTTCCGTCATTCGGGTTTTCCTCATTTGGGTACGCCCCTCTCTTCACGCTGATTGGCTGCAGCGCTTGACGTATTTAAATATAACGGAATGGTCTGATCCAGGGGTTTTCAACCTCTAAATGCAACGGACCTCCAAATATGTTCATCCTCGTGCCCGTGCAAGGAAAACGACCCCCGCAATCTTTGTGTAAATAATAAGAATAAAATGTATATATTTATGCGATATTTAACAGTATTATTTTTTTTACTCGTCATTTATTCATGCATTTTACAGTATTTAAATGAAATGTGTTTTCTATATTTAAATATGCTTTAATGTAATTTTATTTATTTATTTATTTAAATAAATCGCATTTGATTATGGATTTTGTGTCAACTGTTATGATGTTTGGATATATGTATGGATTATATTTATATTATAAGTTTATAAATATTTTTATTTTTGCTTTTTTGACTCCACTGCACCCCTCTGCAACAATCTGAATCATAATTATATTTATTAACAGGTGAAAATAATAAAAACAAAAAAACTGTACATTATTTGTTTGCTTGTTTATTTGTTTGTGTGAGCTCCTTTTACGATTTTATTATTATGTAAATGCCTGAGTTGCACATCAGCACTGAAATAAATTAGTTTATTATTTTCCCTAATAATAATAATAAAATAAATAAACAAACAAAGTTTTGGTTTTGTTTTCAAATAATAATAATAATGATGATGATGATGATGTTTTGTTTTGTTTCCCCAATAATAAAATAAATAATGAACACAAATCTCCCACAAATCTCTCATTTAAATTAAAATTTTTATTGGAAGCTATACAGTATTATATCTGTGCATATACATTAGTTTAGTCAGTACTGAAGCCAAATCTAACAAAATAACTTTTAATAATTTTTTACATTATAGAAAAAGTATTAAATACATTTTTCAAAAATAGAAAGAGATATATATATATATATAATTTTATTGAAATGTTGTAGTTTGTCATTCCTTTTGCACTATTTTGCATGGATTTAAATGTAATATTTTTCCATTTCTAAAGATATTCGCTGACTAACAAATTATTTTATTAAATATATCTGTTTATTTCATGAATCTGTATTGTTTAAATGCACACACACACTTTCATATATATATATATATATATATATATATATATATATATATATATATATATATATATATATATATATATATATATATATATATATATATATATATATATATATATATATATATATATATATATATATATATATATATATATATATATATATATATATATATATATATATATATATATATATATATATATATATATATATATATATATATATATATATATATATATATATATATATATATATATATATATATATATATATATATATATATATATATATATATATATATATATATATATATATATATATATATATATAGATATATATAT